ACACAATTATTATTTTCACCTGTAAAGTTGGAATATCTAGAATGTGGAAAATGTACTGCAATTCTCTTCCCTCTAATTAGCTTTTCAACAAAGAGTTAATCGCTTGAACAAAGAAACTAAGAAGTTAGTTTGTTTTTGTAAATTCAGGTTACTATAAGATTAGAATAAAAGCAGCCTCACAGAATCCACAACTTCTTTGAATTAAAAAAACTTTCATTTTATAATAATTGTAGGTTGACATTTTTTTTGGAGAACAAAATAATGGTATAAGGCACCAAGGTGGTGCCACCCATGTAAAAAATATTCACAACTCTCTCAAAGAGAAAAGATCTACAAAAGCAGCAATCATAAGGTCAACGAAAAAAGTACTTAAATTTTCTTTTTAAAATTCCAAACTGTTGGACCAAATATTCAAGTATTCATATTACCTTGTGCCCACTTAGACAGGACTGGACTTGATGGTTGAGATGATATTAGAATTTAGTTGAATCTCGATGGTTGAGATGATATTAGAATTTAGTTGAATCTCGATGGTGGTGACAATAGAAGATTATGGTTTACTTTTTACTTCATAGTTGGATGTTTGCTTGTTCTTGGTTGAATAATGTAAATATTTTATTGTGAGAACCTCTACCTTGTTGAATAGCTAGAAAAGCATAAAACCTGTCAATATCTGTACTATTAGGAGATAGAGATATAAAACTACAACTTTTTGTTTAGAGGAAACAAAAGGACTAATATCTTCTTACTTAGCTGGTCGGAGTGGTGATTGTTTATGTGATTCTGGCGTTGATTGTTTACGATGTTGAAGTTCTTAATTCCATTCCAGATAGTAAGCCTGTACAGCTATTTAATTATTTGTTAATTTGTCTATTAGCAATCAAAACTAGGCTTTTGGCCTTTTCTTGAATTATTTTAATGAAACTTTAAGGAAACAAGAAATTTCAATTGATGTGAAATTCCTTTTTCTTGAAGTTTAGCAGTAAGTATGTCATTTTCTGCAAAATTTGAAGGCTTGTTCTATTTGGCGATCGTCTTACATAAGTTGAGTCCTTTATAATAGATCTGAACTACTGTAAGAAAGGTATTATTTTGCTACAATGGTCAATAGTTACACATCAGTTAGGTGGCGAAAATTCTTTAGTTTGCATCAGATGATGAGTCCTATGGAAGCTGTACGATGGTTTTCACGTAGGTTATTTTTATCTAACATCTGGAGGATTTGTCCATTAGCTGACTGTGATAATTGCTAAGTCTTTCTTTGACTTGAAAATACATTTGGTTAGAGGATTACGTGTATAGTTGTTATATTAGCAATCTTTAGTTAATGTTTGGTTGGGTACCTTACTTTTGAGCAAATATAGAGTTTCAAGGCTTGAAAAAGTGGAAACTAGGTTGTTTTTGGATCTAAGGGAAAGTCATGTGTTCTCTCTCGTAAGAATGACTGCATTATCAAATTCTGCTAGAATTTTTTTTTTTGAAATGTTGCAAAAGATCATTATACTTGGTTATAGCCCAAATCAGATTCTCTTCAAGTGTACTTTTACGATAATTACCAGCTAGAGTTTTGAACTGCATTACTACATGAACTCAATCACTCGTGTGAAAACAGATAAAAAAAAAAACAAGACTTATTCGAATAGCATTATTAATGTTGTAGTTACAGTTATAGGCAATTCGTCTACTCCTGTTACTAGATGTTTTTATTCGATTGATGGGGTTTGCTTACATTTTGTTGGGTAAGAACGATTTGGTAACTGAGATAGGAGAAGACTATAGTTGTTTTAAGTCTGCTAGATTCTCATTGTGGGATTGAGGGTGATATTCCTGTCTACATGTTTTGTTCGTGGACCTGGAGGAGCTCTTCAAATCTGATATCAATCCCCTATCAATTATTTCTGCAGTATAATTTTTTCGGGATACTTGTGGATGGTGAAATAAATAAAAATATATATATATATATAGAATTGAGTGTATTTGACCTCTTTACTGGAGATGCTCTGGTTGATACTAAATTTGGGAAAATAAAGTCAAAACTATTATTTGCTGTTCTTAAATTTTATTAACAAATAAAATAATTGGAAATAAAAACGAAATGATGTAATTACTTGTCGTTGAAGAAACCGTTAATAATATTATATATGAAATTTGGTTTGTTTGACTTTTGAGAACAAATTTCTTATTATTTTTTTAATTCAGTACCTCATAGTATTAGTTGTTTGTTATTTTATGTAAAATTATTTTTAATAATACCCATTTAAAAATCTTATGTGAAATAATTGTCAGGTAAAACATAGGAAGTGAATTATATAATTATATGTATATATGAATTTGAGTTGATGTAAACCATGGTTGTATTGTGTCTGTATAATTTCATGGAGAGAAGTTGTGGCCAATGGCATATAAAGAAGAGAAGAGAGAGAGAGAGAGACGAGAGCATTTTTGTTGTCACTTTCAATGAATTAAAATATTTTAATTTCTGTTAATAAGAAAATGAAGTATT